CAACCTGGGATAGTTGCCACTTCAGACAAAAAGTCCGTCAGTGCTAGCTGAGTGTGTTTGCCTTGTTTGGTTGTCGCTCGGCTAGCTCGCAAGCTAACTACGACTCTTACTGCTATCGTCCTGGTGGAGTACCGGGGATGGTGGTGGGATATAGGAGCTAGTGCACGTACCTCGTGACGAGGAACGAGTTACGACTATGTGTGCTAGCTAACCTATTTGCTAACGAAGCTATTGAAGGTAGCTTCGCTAGAAACGGAGTTTCGATCGCTATCGTCGCTCGCAGGATAGTTGCGTCTGACATGCGAAGCAGGATAGCTGTGACTTGGAATGGCTACAAGCATTTGTGACCGTGGCCATTCTGGATAAAGTCCCCCATCAGGGGGGTAATTTTGAAGTACCCGCCCTGCCCACCCTGGGGATAGATAGCAGTAACACAGCTAGTGCAGTGTAGTTAATGTACAGGAACAGCCGGACTCACGCCCGTGACGTGCAGGCTCGAGACCCAGCGGACACAGCGACCGTAACAGGAAAAGTGACCGCTTTAGTTTGAGAGCAGGAACCGTAGTGAAGCCCGTTCTTTAACATTAAAACGAAGATGACGCTTCAAAGGAGCATGCGATAAATGGCAAGGCTCTAAGTGAGCATGATACAATGGTGAAGTGGATGGTAGAAATTGTTCGATGATCGAATCAAGTTGTACAATACAACCTGAGTCGATGAGGGCGTAACAAACATTTCAATGTCCTATGTATGCCCAAATTAGCTTGTTTCACTGCGTGTCTCCGTAGGTCAAACGCCGGCTCAAGCACAGCGGGAAAATAGTGTGGGCCGCCCGTGTGTTGACAAGGATTAGACGTTGACGTTGGTAAAAGGTTTTAAACTTTCAAAAAGACACGAAGTGGTAGAGCTGTGAGCTCTTCTACCTAGTGACGGGACATGAGCAGGACAGGACATGAGAGACTCTGAGAGAGCTCTTGTTTCTTTAAGAATGTAGAGCTCCTTTATTTGGAAAAAAAGGGAGGGAAGGGATCCCTCTCATGACCTATTCGGAGGCAGAGGGGCTAAAAGGGCTTGCTCATCGCGCGTTGAGAAGTGGAGGAGCTCATTCAGAAGAGGCAAGGGCACTCTGTCACAGCAATAAAAGAGAGGTTTCTCATGGCATATTAAGAGATAGCAAAACTCTCTCACGTAAACAACAGGGACGTATGAGTTACGTCATGTCCCATTCAATGGATAAAAACCAGCTTTCCACAACAATTGGAGAATAAAGGAGAGATCTTTCGCAAAAAGGTAGAAGTTTGTCATTTCCCATGAGAAGATAAACGGCTTCTCTCATGACCTGATAAACATTTCGTGCAATAAAAGATAAGAAAGGTCTCTCTTGATCTATTGCGAGATAGAGAAGCTCTTTCACGTAATTCATAAAACTTTGAGAACTCCTCTACCTATTGACGAGAAAAGAAAAGATGGGATATGAGAGAGCTTTCGTATGTATTTGTTGAATGCGTTCTTCTATCTCTGAGTAGGCCTTCTCGTAGGAAATGCAAGAACTCCTCTGCAGGAAATGAAAATACTCTTTGATAAACAGAATGGAAAAAAATCGATGTCCCCTATCTTCTTAGGCATGGCGAGAGAGTGAGACATGGGCCATGCAAAGGCTCCTCTATTTTTCTGGAAGTGAAAAAGCTTGCGCTCTCTCCTGAGTGAAAGGTGGAGAGATCGGAATGAGAGATCTCCTTCATGTCTTTCTAAGAGATGGGCTGGCTTTTTGCTCGGGTAATCGGAAGTTGGACTGCCCTCCGACCCCCTCTCCTCTATCTTCTCATGGGACATGGAAGAATGGAATGGAAAAGATAGGGCATGACAGAGCTCTCTTATGTATTTTTAAAATGCGTTCTTCTATCTCTGAGTGGGAGATGAGAGAGCTCCTCTGTCTTCTCATAGGAAGCGCAAGATCTCCTCTGTAAGAAAATAGAAGACCCTTTGAAAAAATGGAAAGAAATCGACGTCGTCTATCTTCTTAGATATGGGCCATGCAAAGGCTCCTCTATTTTTCTGGAAGTGAAATAGCTTGCGCTCTCTCCTGAGTGACAGATCTTTCTCTTGAAGGAATGAGAAATCTCTTTCATGTCTTTCTAACAAATGGGCTGGCTCCTTTCTCTCGTGATCGGAAATGGGAGAGCCCTCCGCTCCCCTCTCCTCTATCTTCTCATGGGACATGGAAGAATGAAAACGAAAAGATAAGGCATGACAGAGCTCTCTTATGTAATTTCAAAATGCTTCTTCTATCTCCGAGTAAGGGGATGAGAGAGCTCCTCTATCTTCTGATAGGAACGAAAGATCTCCTTTGTAGGAAATGAAAAGACCCTTTGATAAAAAGAATAGAACAAAATCGATGTCGTCTATCTTCTTATGCTTGGTGAGAGAGTGAGAGATGGGACATGCGAGGGTTCTTCTATTGTTCTGGATGTGAAATAGCTTGCGCTCTCTCCTGAGTGAAAGATCTCTTTCTCGAAGAAGAAGAAGAAATGAGAGATCTCCTTTATGTCTTTATAGGAAATGAGCTAGCTCCTCTCTATCGTAATCGAAGTGGGAGAGCCCTCCGCTCCCCCTTCATTATATTGTCATCGGAAATGGAAGAATAGAAATGAATACGCAAAATGCGTAAGGAAAAAAGAGCTCCTGATCTCTTTCCTATGATGGGATATGAAAGACTCCCTGATTTTTTCCATGAAGGATCTTTATTTCTCGGGGTTCCGAGATCTCTTCTGTTTTTTTCTACCAAACACTTTATCAAGTATGAGAAAGGCTCTGTCATAAGGGTAAATAAGGAGCTCTGTCAATTCTTGAAAAACAAGAAAAAACAAGAAGGAGAGTTCCTCTATCTCTGAGATTGAAATGAAAGAACTCCTCTATCTGCTCATAGGAAATGAAAGAACCCCTGTGCAGGAAGCGAAACGATCCTTTGCTCGGAAAGGATCGATGTGCTGTATGACGTCCTCTCTCTTCTATCGGGACATGAAGGAGCAAATAAAATAGCTTGCATTGTCTTTGAGCGAAAAAGATTTGTTTCGTCATCGGAAAAAAGACATGTAGCATTTCCTACGAAGCGCAAGAGGACCTTTACTTTTTCGCAGCTGATGTCGTGCCTTTGTGCGAGAAGGGAAGTTTTCCAGAAGCCATCAGAACATTCGATGGTGTCTGACGCGACATCTGTGTGGTGATTCGAGTCTCCTGTTGTTGTGGATTGTGCCACGTCTACAGAGCCTGTCTGTGATGGTTTGTGTTGGGTAGAAAGGAAATGGCCAAATAGACCCTAAAGGTCTCGGCCACATATATATATATATATATATCGCATTTCTCGCATTTGGGGCACAGGCTCCTGTTAGGCTGCAGCCCTTTGGCGTGCATTAATTAAAATGAGATGTAACAATCCCCAGTTTGCGCTCGCGAACTACTCAGCAGTGCGCGGTGCAGTAATCTGGGCGATCGCACAGTGAGGTGTGCCAGATGCAGTGCATGAAACCGGTAGCACAGAGCTGAAAAACCGTAGCACTAGCAACACTTCACACCCAAAATCAAAAGGATGCCGCACCATAACGTGCGCATGAGCTGCACAAGAAGTCGAAATGAAGCTTCAACGTGCAATGCGAAGCAGGCCAACAACTGCGCAGGATATTCCTCATGGGTATGAATGAGGCAATCCCTGCACAACACAACTATGTAACGACATACCCGAGATGCCGGAACACCTTCTTTGGAGGTGATATATTGACATCATAACAGAAACGCTAAAAGCTTGAGCCTTGTTCCCCATGGGGCAGAGAGGCAAACTGCAAGCTTCAGGCCCCGCATGGCGTATTCAAATGGCCATGCCCGCATGTTCATAGAAGTGCCTTCACACTCGATATGAAGTGCACTGACTGTGAGCCGTACTCAAGAAAAGCATAGTGGCAATGTACGCGGCTTCCGCTATGCAAAACACTGTCTGGCTCCTTCTCGAAGGCTGAGTTTCATAAACTTTCTCCCAGCAGATGCCAACCAGCATGCAGAAGCCGGCGATGGTTGTCCCCAGGCCAGCTCCCACATTGACTAAATCAGCATCCGCAGCGACCACGCTCAGAGAACATGCTACATCCTCGCCGTTATGGCCGATGCCAGCACAGCCCTCACAAGTTCCGCCACTCTTCTGGACGGAGTCTGCCTGCTTGACGAACCCGTTGACGCAAAACACGTCAAAGACGCACAGAACAAAAGCATTGAAGATGAGACTTCTGCTGAAAGCAATCTCCGGGGTAGTATGTTTGATGAAGAGTCCATGTAAGTAGACATGACCAGCTTGTAAGCACCAGCAGGCCGTCACAGCGCCGAGCGCCCCAAAGTACTCGTTGAGGAAGCTGCCGACGCAAGGCTTCTCATTCCCAGTAGGCCCTGCCTTATCTTGGGACTGCGCCTTGACACTGTCGAACGTGCCACTGGCCTCAACGTCCAAGGTGAGCGTCAGGATCTTGAAAAAGATCTGCATGCCGCCTCGCATGTGCGGCGCCAAGTGAAGGGTCGATTCCTTCTGCAGGTTGTAATCCGAAAGAGTACGGCCGCACTCAAACTGCCTGCCAGCAAAGATCAGGTGCTGCTGGTCGGGCGGGATGTCTGCCTTAACTTGGGACTTCGCATTGACTTTGTCGAACGTGCCACTGGCCTCAACGTCCAACGTAATCGTCTTGCCTGTCAGGGTCTTGTCAAAGATCTGCATGCCGCCTCGCAAGCGCGGCATCAGGCGAAGGCGTGCCTTCCATGGCACTGGGGCTACCGATAGTTCCGCGCTCCTGCGGCCATTCGAGCCCTATATATATATATATATATATATATATATATATATACATAGAGAGAGAGAGAGAGAGAGACAGAGATCTCTGTATCTCTCTATCTCCATGGGTCGGTTTGGACTCCGTCGTGTTTGTCATTATTCCGGGTTAGCAAATGGTTCCTCGAGCTTTGAGGCCCGAAGAAGGGGAAAATCCGAAAAGCTCCCGGAGCCGGGGCCCAAGTTTGCAGCAGCTCTGTGGTCCGGCTCTTGGAGGGGGCCACAGTTTCTGCGGCAAGGGGATCGCTGTAAGTGCCCCGCTCGTGCGAGTCACAGTTACGACAGTGTATGCTAGCTGCTAGCTCGACTTCTCCTCTGTACCAAAACATCAAAGGTGTTTTCCTCTCACCCCTCTGGAAAGGCTAATCTGCCAACGTGCTTTTCCTTTGCGAGGGAGAGTGCTAGGAGAGAACATGTTCGGGAGAGTACTCAGGTGCTGATATTGCTGCAGTGCTGAACATGTCTATTCGGATTGAAATTGCTGTGCCATGTTGTCAGCAACATGTGCACATAGACACTGTGCTATGCGCTGTCCACGTCTCATGTGCAGGGCGTGTTTCATGTGAGCCATGTGCAGAACATGTACAATATGGGGAAAGGGCTACATCGGCCGTGACCTTGTGGCCATGTTGGGCCAAGAGCCCGTGAACGGGGGGCAATCTCAAAATGGGGAGGGAACAGAGCCATTCTGTGAAGCTGTTTTGCTGTACTTCCCGGATCATGCCTCAAATGTGTTTCGGCCAGCCGCAACTAAGAGCTTGCGAGTGCGCAAATTCAAAAATATCAGCGGCCGACTGAGGATGCGAGTGCCCGTTACCTTAAGCAAATAGCTCCCAAAACGCAAGCTACGCACACAACCCCTAAATAGCATAGCAATTATAACAGTACATTATGTTAGGGTGCGTTTGAGGAGGGTTTGTGGGTTTCTTTATGGGTTCGGTTAGAGGTCTAGATGAGCTGCCCAGGTAAAAGGCACGATCGAACAGAGTCGCCGGCATATCAGTGCGTAGTAACCCATCCACGCAGCATGCTGCTGTGCCAGCCCTTGCTGTAAATATATGTCGGGGCACAAGCCTTCTGGGACAGTTTGCGGAATCATTGAACTCTTATCTTCCACTTGTCCTTCAGCGTGCAATGAGTGCGAGTTCGATGTTGGCAGACGAGTCGAAAGCTGACCTGCACACGTTTCTATCGGCTGCAAGAGTGCCCAGAGATTTCGTAGCGGCTCTCGTGATAGCTTGTTAGGACTCCTCCGCCATGCCAGTCAAGAAAACGGCACGGGAAAAGGTTGCTCAGGCGGCCGCAATTCGCAAGAAAGCTCTCGCTCTCGAGGTTGACGCTCGTTGCGAAAAGAAGAATCAACCAAGAGCTGAAATTGGCAAACAGATGGAAAGCTCATTATCCTAGGGGGAAGTACCCCAGGTGGTTCAGCCTCGTGTATAGCGATGCTGCTTCGGAGAAGCAGTCGGTCCGGGCATGCCTGCAATTCTTGTGGCAAGTCCACGAAGAAGAAACTGGGCAGAAATGCCCTTTCGATCTCGAAGCGGTAGTTTGACAAGTGCACTTGCTCCAAGATTCACAAATGTCAGCGTCGCCCACCTGTGCGCCGAGTGTCTCCACGAAGTGCTTTGCCAGCCTCCGCTGTAGCCTTTTGGTGCATTTAGGAAGGCTCTCAACAGAAGCAACCAGGTCCTGGCCACAGTCGTGTTGCGACAGTTGTTGTACTCAAGCTTCTGCAACTGCGACAAACTTGTAGCATCTTCTGACAGATGCGGCTTTCTTTACGAAGTAGCTTGCCGTTCAACAGTCAGGCCCTTGCAGCTCCCGACTTTTCAGGGTGTAGTGTCTCAAGAGATGTACCTACATCATTAAACCAGTAGGACAACTAGAGTGGAGTGGAGTGGAGGGACGACCGAGACCCGAAGGCCTGGCCTGTTAGTTAGCAGTGGCATCACCTCCGGCCCGAAGGCTTAAGGATCAAACCACAAAGAAAACCCTGAAAAAACAAAGGGTCTTAGGGCAGGCGAACCGGGTGGCCAACCGCGCACCCCAGGCGCACACCGGATCCATCCCGACTCGAGTCTCCATCAGCTCATTGCAGCTCGCGTAACCGTGCACTCCAGGCACGAAAACCGGGATCCATCCCGACAGAGCTTCCATCAGCTCATTGTCACTTGCGTAACCGCGCACTCCAGGCGCGAACCGGATCCATCCCGCCAGGGCTATCAGCTCATTGCCGATTGCGTAACCGCGCACACCAGGCGTGAACCGGGATCCATCCCGACAGAGCTTCCATCAGCTCATTGTCACTTGCATAACCGCACATTCCAGGCGCGAACCGGATCCATCCCGCCAGGGCTATCAGCTCATTGCCGATTGCGTAACCGAGCACACCAGGCGCGAACCGGGATCCATCCCGACAGAGCTTTCATCAGCTCATTGTCACTTGCGTAACCGCGCACTCCAGGCGCGAACCGGATCCATCCCGCCAGGGCTATCAGCTCATTGCCGATTGCGTAACCGCGCACACCAGGCGAGAACCGGGATCCATGCCGACAGCTTCCATCAGCTCATAGAGCACTCCAGGCGAGAACCGCGATCAAGCCGAACTGCTGTACCATCGACACTTGCGTAACCGCTCACGTGAAACAGGATCCACTGGTAGCTGTTCCATCAGATCATGTCAAGTGTAGAAGCGCGATCACCAGGTTCGAACCGGGAACCCTCCCGCAAGAAACACGTCAGCCTCCAGCCGCAAAGAGACCCAAAGTGCCGGCACTGTCGCCCTACTGTGACCCCCACGCCTGCTTGCTGGGTGCTCTTCGGCCTGGAAACAATCCTAGGCCTTAGTGCCGCCCCTGGGGTCCCAGCAAGCACGCCGGCGAAAGGGTTAACAACCACAGCAGGCCCAGGGGTAGGACAACTAGAGATCGTTCGCACGAGCAGCTGGCCTGTAGTCTAGCTACGTCGTCAGAGACCCTGCACTTTATCATGTAATTGTTCAGTCATGTCGTGAGGCAGTCTTGTCACCTTTCACTTGCACGTAAGCTAGCCAAATGAAGTCGAAAGCAGAAGCCTCATAGTTCTTAGCATGCCACAGGTCTTGTCTTCGTGTCGTGCAAGCAGTTGAATCAACACGGCGGCATTCATTCCCTCATGGTATTTCGGTGTAATGCGTTGGTAGGCCGTCGAAGGGTCAGTTTAGGCAAGATTGCATCGTTTTCCTTCGCATCAAGGAAGCAGTGAGTTATTGGCCACAGCACCCTCAGCATAAAGTACGCTTATGATTTGTATCAAAATAGAAAAACCTTAGGCCCTACGCCCTGAAGCCGAGTATCCGCCAAACCCAGGCGGGTGCAATTTCAAAGTTGCCCTCATTCTTGAGGAAACCATTTTGCTAGAAGCAGATGGATCTCCGAGCTACCTGAGTGGGGTCCGTCCACACGGTTGAAACAGGGTTGGTCCGAGTGCTGGGGCGTGCTTTCCGTGTGCGAGGGAATGAGCTACCCTAGGATGCTATTCCGGCTCGCAATTAGACTGCCTGTGGCATCCTGTGGCCCTTAATCCAAGGTGGTGCTTGGGGATGGGGGGACTAGAGAGTTTAGCAAGTGTACATCGGGCGAGAAGCGGCTGGTCATGTGTTGCTCACGGAAGCCGATGCAAAGCGAATATTGATTGACCTGAGTTTCTGAGGTTTTCTCGGCCCCAGCTTCATCTTCATCGGGATTTTCAACGGCGCTGCCTTATAAGAGAGCTTGCCTCAGCAAGCAGAAGCTTCTTTGACTGGAAATGAACAGACCTAGGTGGCCTATGCCTACGACTGGTCCATGTCAGCCATGTCGGTGTGGGCTGCCGCGGGCTGAGCAGGTAAAACCACACGAAAGCTTGAACACACGAGGGCAGGGAAAGCAATGTGGCCACGGTTGTTTGTTTCTTAAGATGCAGATACAGCTGTCAGCATTCAGTGCAAAGTGCGCACTCAAGGAAGATCTCATGATGGAGGATCTGGTTGATGACGGTGACTCGGCCGAGAGTCTGTTCGTCGACGCTAGAGGTTCAATTTTCCACAGCGTGTTCGAATCATATCGCTCTCACAGCAGGTTCTCGAGGTGCAAGTCTTAATGTCTAGGGTGGATGACGTCGGTGAGGTCCTTCGGAGAAACGCTGATTTAACACAGTCGGCAGTCCACAACAACACGACGACGATCGGTTTTTCAAATTGAAAAGCACAACATCAAGCAACCCGTCGCCAGACCATGAAACACCCGTCGCATCAGGGCAATCCAGCGCACAAAAGCAACATGAGCTGGCACGCTTTCTCGCGTCGCGAGCGAATCCGAAACGCGTGCACGTGTCCATTATCTCCGGCCGCCGTCTTCAACCACGCTTTGTGCAGTAAATCTTGCTGTTTGATGAGACATGACCGTGATCAAATCTGTCAAGTTTAACCTCCGAGTCGATACTGCCGGTTCACTTTCGGATTGCAAAACTTCGCCGTTCTAGCATCAAGGTCCACCAAATCCAACGGATGCAGTCGGGCCAGGACTGACCAACCACTGGAAAGGGTAATGCACCTATGCAGCAAGATGCAGCAAGTCCAGTGCAGCTTCTGGTCACAAGTTGGCAGTTGCAGGAGGGTCAGTGCTCCAGCAGGAGCCGGCGTCGCCGAGTTGGGAGACTAGCATCCGTGCCCCCGATTTTTATGAGCGCTCGGTCAACGAAGGTGCAGTCGTCCTGGCACCTGTGGCGGAAGCTGCAGGCCAACGCTGGCAGTCGATACAGCGGCGTTTGTGCCCGAATGCCACACGAGGGGGAGCCTCGGTTACTCTTGTAAGACAAAGATTTTGAACATGGAGCCTCGAAGCAGTTGATCGGGGCGGTGGGGATCACCACAGAGACGGGGTTGGGCCTACAAGGGGGTCGGTTGAGCTTGTGTGACGTCGCATCTCACTCGCGCAGGGGCGTCGCGAATTCCAAGGGCCTGCTCAGAACCCACTTGCACCCAAGCCGAAACCCCAGGCACGACAACACCCCGAGTCCCAGAATGTGAACACTAGGTTATGAGAATGTTTAGGGGTAAAAGTCATGGCGTACAGCGCTGAGTGCTCCTTCTTCAAAGCGCTCAAATTGCTAGAGGGTCGGTCCGTAAGGAAAACAGCCTGTTGGGCAGGTGGTTTCAACGAGCCTTGACACAGCTCCCCTTTAGCCTTTCAACGCGCGGCCCTCGCAACGGCTTGCAGGGGATTCGCGCAGGCGCATACGGTCGCCACGCAAACCGGCCCCACTTGTTGGCCACGTTTAGCCGCCATGATCCGGGTTCAGGTTTTCAGGTTGCTGCTGGACAGTGGGGCCGTGCTTAGCTTCTCGAACTTGTGGTGTCGACTGTGCTGTGCTTGGGAGGGAGGGGGTCGGGAGGGGGGGAGGGGGGGACGAGGGGTGAAACCGTAATTGTACAATGGCATGGTTATGTTTCAAGTGGTTCGAGACACACTAGCTCTCTCTGCGTAGCAGGAAAGCAACCCGCTGGTTTGAAGCCGCATAGTCGGGAGGCTGCTTGGTTTCGGCTGTCGCGGGTTTGTCGTAAGGGCTAGGCTTTCGGTGTTGTATGGCTTTGGCTGTGGGAGTCATCCATGAACAATTTTGGTTGCTGAGTTTACTAATTTGACCGCACCAAACCCTGCCGTGCACAATTTGAGCCATCGGCAACACTGGGCCATGTGACGGTAACGGGCCGTGTGGCCCGAATTGGGAGGCTCCAATTTTGAAAAGAATCGGAGTGTAAAGCAAGTGCAAGCGTTCGTATTCGATCGGCAACCTGCAAGGGCAGGCATGCCGGCTTCTCCAGGTCAGGATGCCCAGCGCAACATCGGCCGGTCTGATCAGCATGAATCTCAGTGGAGCTGCATCAACAGGCCACTGCGTCCTGCGAGTGTGATGCCATGTCATGACAGCATGTGATATGTGCCAACAAGCGTCGAGCCGAGAGAGCCCGCCGCAGGTTTCCAGCCGCAACGGGCGGAGGCCCTGGTCAACTTCACAGTACCTGTATACTGAGACGTGCTCTTTGAAATACTGTGAGATGCTCTCGGGGTCACCGACGGCGGACTCGTGTTGTTGGCCCGAAGGCTCTATGGCCGGATCTTTTGAGCAGTGCTCGTGCGACGACAACAACATACCAGGCACGGGACTTTCAGGGCTGCGGCCTCGAAGGCCGTAGGATCGCGATGACCAGGTTCTTTCGATAGAGACTGGTGTCTGGAAGAGTCCTACCTTGCACTCCCAGCCCTGAATCACTGAATTTTCACAAGCCTCAAGCCACTCCGAACCCCACAAGTTCAACCTGCAAGTTAAAGAATGAAAAGGTGATCATGGTTGTCTTCACCGGTGTTTCGATGCGTTCCTTTTTATTTGACAGCTTATAGATTCCCACGTGTTGTTTATCCTTGGATAAACCTATCAACGATCCCACAACACCGCACCTTGAGACCCGGTTAACATCCGGTCTTCTCGGGTTATCTCTGAAATACTGGGTCCTCTTCCCTGGTCTCTCTTCCTTCTCTTTGTCCTCTCATCCTTCCGGTCTTGGTCTCTATACTCCACATTGAAAGTCTTATGAAGGATGCAGCTCACCAAAAGACACGGCTTGTCCAAAGTTTTTTATTGTATTTCACTTCCTCATCTAACCAACCAATCACCCCCCGAGCCCCTGATCACGCCTGTGCCAGGAGTACCGGAGAACCTGCTTTGGTGAAGGCAAGGTGCAGGGTGTTATGGTTAGTTCTTCGTCTTGTTGCTGTTCGTGGTCCATTAGTTGCAGCTGCCATGTGTTTATGGCTGCCATGCTTTATTTATTGGTCTGGGTATTTACGTTTATGCTGAGGGTTATTCTTTTTATGCTGTGCACCTTCCTGTCCCCATTGACGTCTCATATTTACTGTTGCAAAACTGAAAACAACAGTCATACATGGCGCCTTAATTAAGTATCTATTCTGGGAATTCAGAGTTGCTTTTAAAGTAGAGTCATGCCCGCCTCAAGGACGAGTTCCTCGTGCAGATGCTCGGCGCCTTTTTGTATGACACCGACAGCGTTGATGATCAGCCGGGATCTCGACCGGTGTTCCTGATCCAGCAACAGATTGGCGTGTACCTGGAGCAAGGCCGGCTGGAACAGGGAGCCGGGGGCAGGAGCTGGCGCTTGGAACTCGAAGCCCCGAAAGCCTAAACCCGGAAAGCTATTGCTGAGGGCTGAAAGGGGGGCCTGCACGTGGTTGATGGCGAGCACGCGGTTAGCTGTTGTCATGCTATCTGACTTGAGCTTCGGGGTGCTGACTTTAAGTTTAGGTGTCCTGTATGCTTGGGGCTGGGTTTGGGGTCAGAGTTGCCATGGTGGCAGCGGAATTGTACTGAGTACTACTCCTGTCTGTGCATGGGGTCCTCAGCAATGCCTGGGAGCCATATACGCCTTTAGTTTGACGGCCATGGCTTGTGGGTGGCTGCTGACTGACTGCTGTGTCCTGCAGACCTGGTCAAGCTTGTTGAAAGTCCTAAACATAGAGCTTGCCGACTGCATTCCATGGACCTCATCGGGCTTGAGCGTGAAGGCAGTGAAGGCCATAACGAAGCCCCGAAAACTATGCGTAGGCCGTATGTAATCATTAATCCCGAGAGGATCCCAAATCACCTTTCTTGAGGCAATTCGGGACATAGGCTCCACCACTGTTGCCAGCAACTTGCGTGCAAAAGCGGGTAATTAATCTTTGCGCAACAGGCCGCGAACTTGCGAGGCGCGGCCTTCTCATGCTATTGCTGCTCATTACATGTAGCCGGCCTTTTTCCAAGCTTACTGGAGCGGTGCCAGATAAACCGACGACCAGACATGCGTGCGAATGCTATCATTTTCAAACTCTCATCTACAGGTCACAGACGTTTGAACAGCGACAACTATACCAACCCGATTTTTTCCCAAGTATCGTGCAGGTGCACTGCGAACCGCCAGGCAAGCTATCACGCATGACGTCCTGCGCCATGCATCTTCCTTGCGTTCCAATCGAGTTGACCTGGGTTCAAAACGATGGGAGGACAATGTGGCTGCGCGGAAGCCAAGCAGCAGCCATGTCTGGCATACTCCCGATATCTTCATCCATGCGCACTACAAGACACGAGCCAGCAGCCTTGGCAAGTTCCTTTCAGACTGGCAACCTGCGTTGTTGCGACAGCAATTAATGCAAATCATGCGCGCATGTGTCAGCATGAAAAGGCTGATTGACTCCGGAGGGCCTTGCGCAACCGTGCAAGAGAAGGGTTTGTGTAAGCTTTGCGGGTGTTTTTGCGAAATGTGAAAATCGCATTGAAAGGCATTGAGGCTGTGCAAAACCAAGCTTGTCAACGGCGCGCAGAAGTCAATGCACGAACGTGGCCATATCGGGCCACACATATCGTTCACCCAATTGGGTTCTTTATGTCGTGCTTGGGTTTGGTGAGCGTGCTGCTTTCTGTATAGTTTCTCCTACCAGGCTCAGCCGATGTTAAGCATATCTGTAAACAGAAATAATCACGCCTGATCAAGGAGGAAATCGTGGGGCCATTGGGAACAGGCCGCGACGGACAGGAGCCTTTGTTTGGGTTCTGGCGTCGAAGAGTATGGAGGTGAACTGCATGCCATGGTTCGTATTCGTTGCAACTCGATCATTTCTGTTCCCTTCGCCGATGCAGGAGTTCGCGCCGACGCGAGCTGAGCATTGGTTGTTGCTCTGCGGCGGCTTCTGAGCCTTTTTTTGCTGCTTGGGCAACTTCAGGCCGACCACTGGGTCTTCTGGATCTTCTGCGTCCAAGCCTTGGGGCAAGCGCGTCAGTGATCCTGCGGGCACTGCGTTCGTCGTAATCAGAGAACTTGCAGCAAACTAGGAAGGTGCTTGAGCCTTGAGCTGAGCAAGTTGGTCCCTTCTGCAACTATTCGAAGCTTTCTGTTGCACATCCATGCCCCAGTGCACTATGCTGCAACAGCTGCATCTGCAGTACCACGCAGCAGTAGAGGGCATTCCGTGTTCATTGATGCATTTTGCTATATGTTGCTGTAGCCACTGCATGCTCCCGTTGCAATCTTCCTACTTGGATACTGGTGGGAATACCCACGGAGTATGAGGTTAAAGTGCGTCCTTGCTGCAGCTGAGCCTGGTGCGCAGCAGGTCCTGCATTGGGTCAACATCTGCAGCTTCAAGTGCAGGGCTCAGGCTACTGTAGACGTTGCAGCATGATGTGACGCATGAGTCACTCCGGAGGTTCTGATCCTGCGCTCCCGCGCTGGCCTCAGCTGTCCAGGAGAGGACAGGATGCACAGAACGTAAGCACATTAGGGGGGAATGGTGCCGATAACTTCTTGGGCACGTGCAAGTTGGACCCAATGTGTGGATTGTGTGGTCATGCTTGTGCATTTCCCCGTGACAACCATGCGGTTTCCTCACATTTCGAGAAAAAAACAGTGCAATTTTGTATGGTTCCAAAATTCACTTGCGAGGCTCACGAAACATCCGCGGGCGCGGCTGAATGATGCCAAAAGGTTTAGTTTTAGCACGAAGCACGACGAAGCATTTGAAGAAAAAAACTCGAAAACGAACGCCCGATGGCGCACCTTTTTGCAACTCTTTGGGCAGGTGCAAGTTGGGCCCAATTAATGTGTCGTAATGGTTCTTGATGTTGCCACCATGAGGGCCGCTGCTGCCTCGTGCCCTTCTGTAGAAGAGGACGGTGCCCCATCCCTCATCACGGCATGGCGTTGGATCTTCTGCAAAGACACAGTCAACCTTGTTGCTCCAGGACGAGTTCCTCGCCCAGGTGATATCTGCTGATCAGTCCCGATCTCGGCTGTTCTGTTCGATTATTGCGAAAGGTTGGCCTGTGCAAGCCCGAACAACAAAGGTGACAAGGGCTGGGCGAATTCAAAAACAAGGGCGATCAATATCGCGGCCTGGCATCTACGCAAGAAACGAGGGAGCGCTTTTCGGATGGAATCCTAATTATGTGGTTTTTTGGTGCATGTTTGTTGTTGTTTTTTGCTTTCGGTTGTTTTATGCAGCCTTTCTTGCAGCTTGTGTTTGTGTGCGGTTTCGTATTTTGTTTTTTGCCTTCTTGCTTTCAAAAATAAGCTTCTCAATCATCATCTACAATACGAATGTATAAATATTTGAGAAATCCCAATCGAGGGTTTTGACGATATAAGGCTCAGAAATCACCGAGATTTTGGTTTCAAAATCTTGGAATAGTCAATTTGGACTTGGCGCACGAAATCTTAAATTTGAGTCATTGCAGCCCATAGCCTGACCACGAAAATATTAAATATTGTAAAAAATTACACTCGTAATTTCAGTTGAAAATGTTTTCTAATTTCTCGCATCTTTGTATTCATACTATTGAATTGCACATTCATGTGCCGTGCCGTTGCGAAATGATTTTCGTACTGAATGGCGCCTTAACTCCGAAACGAGATGTATTGCTTGCCGAGTAAATTTTTTTTGTTGGTATTGTGAAATATGGGTCCACTGTTTTTTTTTTTCCTAGGTCTGGCCTGGTCTGGGGGGCCTTGCTAGGTCTGGTTCCTTGGTTTCCTGGCCCTTTGGTCCTCTGGTCCCTGGTCCTTTGGTCCTCCGGTTCCCTGGTCCCTGGTGCGCTGGTTCCTTGGTTTTCCTAGAGAAAACACTACTATCCTTGGGTTCTGGATGGATTTGGCGTGCTTTTCTTGTTTTTCTTCCATCGGCAACGACAAGAACCCAGGAAGAAGGAAAGAAACACGGTAGAACAAGGACCAAAGCAAGGAAGCAAGGCAGAAAGAAAGAAAGGAAAGAAGCAAGACAGACAGAAGGGAAGCAACGCAGGAAGAAAGCCAGAAACGGGTGATAGAAGGACCAAACAGAGGAAGAAAGATGGACAGGAAGAAAGGAAAGACGAAGCACAGAAACAAAGAAATACTCAAGAACAAACATATGCATGAAGAATAAAAGAACAAACAAACTGAAGAAGGAAAATAATCAACAGGACCACGGCAGGCAAGCGTTCGTGCATATTGATTGCTTTCCAAGCAGACTGTGCATAAGCAAGTTGTATCAATGCAGTGTTACTCTACGTGTTATATATATATATATATATATATATCTATATCTATACATATATATATATGGTGATAATCTGTATACATATGTGTGATGTTCTCACCAAATAATATTTCATAAAGTTGTTTACGTGCACAAGTTTCACATTCGGGGTAGTTCCGGGCTGTAACATAATGTTGCGTGGCTATATATAGTATATATATATATATAAAGTATATATAGTATAGATAGTATATACAGTTTATTTTGTATATAGTTTGTACAGTATATATGTAGTATATGTAGTATATCAAGTATATAGAGAGTATAGAGTATATACGAAATATATAGTGTATGTAGTGTATATAGTGTATATATAATAAATATATAATATATATAGTACAAATAGTGTATATAGTATATATAGTATATACAGTATATATAGTCTATATAGTCTATATATA